TTGTGTTTTATAAAGTTTGTGTTTGTTTTAATGTTTGTGTTTATTTTAATGTTTGTGTTTGTTTTAATGTTTGTGTTTGTTTTAATGTTTGTGTTTTATAAAGTTTGTGTTTGTTTTAATGTTTGTGTTTGTTTTAATGTTTGTGTTTTATAAAGTTTGTGTTTGTTTTAATGTTTGTGTTTGTTTTAATGTTTGTGTTTGTTTTAATGTTTGTGTTTGTTTTAATGTTAGTGTTTGTTTTAATGTTTGTGTTTTATAAAGTTTGTGTTTGTTTTAATGTTTTTGTTTGTTTTAATGTTTGTGTTTGTTTTAATGTTTGTGCTTGTTTTAATGTTTGTGTTTGCTTTAATGTTTGTGTTTGTTTTAGTTATTTTTTGTTTGTTTTAATATTTGTGTTTGATTTGATGTTTGTGTTTGTTTTAATGTTTGTGTTTGTTTTAATGTTTGTGTTTGTTTTAATGTTAGTGCTTGTTTTAATATTGTTTGTTTTAATGTTTGTGTTTTATAAAGTTTGTGTTTGTTTTAAAGTTTGTGTTTGTTTTAATGTTTGTGTTTGTTTTAATGTTTGTGTTTGTTTTAATGTTTGTGTTTGTTTTAATGTTAGTGTTTGTTTTAATGTTTGTGTTTTATAAAGTGTGTGTTTGTTTTAATGTTTGTGTTTGTTTTAATGTTTGTGTTTGTTTTAATGTTTGTGTTTGTTTTAATGTTTGTGTTTTATAAAGTTTGTGTTTGTTTTAATGTTTGTGTTTGTTTTAATGTTTGTGTTTTATAAAGTTTGTGTTTGTTTTAATGTTTGTGTTTGTTTTAATGTTTGTGTTTTTTTTAATGTTTGTGTTTGTTTTAATGTTAGTGTTTGTTTTAATGTTTGTGTTTTATAAAGTTTGTGTTTGTTTTAATGTTTGTGTTTGTTTTAATGTTTGTGTTTGTTTTAATGTTTGTGCTTGTTTTAATGTTTGTGTTTGCTTTAATGTTTGTGTTTGTTTTAATGTTAGTGCTTGTTTTAATATTGTGTTTGTTTTAATGTTTGTGTTTTATAAAGTTTGTGTTTGTTTTAATGTTTGTGTTTGTTTTAATGTTTGTGTTTGTTTTAATGTTTGTGTTTTATAAAGTTTTTGTTTGTTTTAATGTTTGTGTTTGTTTTAATGTTTGTGTTTGTTTTAATGTTTGTGTTTGTTTTAATGTTTGTGTTTTATAAAGTTTGTGTTTGTTTTAATGTTTGTGTTTTATAAAGTTTGTGTTTTATAAAGTTTGTGTTTGTTTTAATGTTTGTGTTTGTTTTAATGTTTGTGTTTGTTTTAATGTTTGTGTTTGTTTTAATGTTAGTGTTTGTTTTAATGTTTGTGTTTTATAAAGTGTGTGTTTGTTTTAATGTTTGTGTTTGTTTTAATGTTTGTGTTTGTTTTAATGTTTGTGTTTGTTTTAATGTTTGTGTTTGCTTTAATGTTTGTGTTTGTTTTAAAGTTTGTGTTTGTTTGAATGTTTGTGTTTTAGAATGAAGGTGGGGGCGAGCAAATACAAGACGACGCCAGACGGACCAAAGACTGGGGCTGTGTTCCACTGCTCCAACGTTCTGTCCCCCAACACACCCCAGTGCCAGACGCCACCAGTCTACATTCCAGACGGCAAAAGTGAGTGCTTGACTGTGTCAGAGATCCGCCCAGTAGATAAAGTTCATGTTTCTTGAGCACAACATAAGGAGGGGGTCATGAAGTGAGCACTAAACCCAGCCGACCAACGATATTCAGGTACCCAAAGAGCAGGATGGGGGCAGGAACGTCCTGAATTCAAGGCCTGACCGTGAGCCGAACTCGAGACTTCCGCGCTAGCACTCGACCACCGTCCTTAAACAAGTGATCTATTACTATTGAATACGACTCCAAAACTCTATCACTTCAGGCCACAAATAATTTTAAGCCTTTTTTTGTGTGGTTTATCTCGCAATGGATACGCTTTGCAACGAAATAGGTTAAATGTTTAATTTAAAATTTAGTGAGACAGTCTTATATATATATATATATATATATATATATATATATATATATATATATATATATATATATATATATATATATATATATATATATATATAAAATGAGAAATATAATAATTTACTCAAACAAACCATAACCCTAATTCCTTCAAAAAGAGTAACTTAAAGTTAGCCAAAACAATAGCACTAACAACTAGACTAACTATAACACTTATCATAACATGGATGACTTAAAGTATAACACTGACCGTAGCAGAAAAATTACAACACAAGCAACAACAAACTATAACACAAACAACAACAAACTATATAAACAACAACTATAACACGTCTTAAATCTTTGAAGATTTTCCTGGTGCCAGCGAAGGCGAGGGGTTTGGTACAAGTTTATCAGTTACAGGGGGCAACACGATGGTGGTAGGTCTTTGTAGTGCTATGTTTTATTGTGGTACATGTGTGTTGTGGTGAATGTGTATGATGTTAAGTCTTGTATGTAGCAAGATGTGTTGGTACGCTGTCTGTCTGTTCATGATGTTAAGTCTTGTATGTAGCAAGAGGTACTAGTACGTTGTCTGTCTGTTCATGATGTTAAGTCGTGTATGTAGCAAGAGGTACTGGTACGCTGTCTGTCTGTTCATGATGTTAAGTCTTGTATGTAGCAAGAGGTATTGGTACGCTGTCTGTCTGTTCATGATGTTAAGTCTTGTATGTAGCAAGAGGTATTGGTACGCTGTCTGTTCATGATGTTAAGTCGTGTATGTAGCAAGAGGTACTGGTACGCTGTCTGTCTGTTCATGATGTTAAGTCTTGTATGTAGCAAGAGGTATTGGTACGCTGTCTGTCTGTTCATGATGTTAAGTCTTGTATGTAGCAAGAGGTACTAGTACGCTGTCTGTTCATGATGTTAAGTCTTGTATGTAGCAAGAGGTACTGGTACGCTGTCTGTCTGTTCATGATGTTAAGTCTTGTATGTAGCAAGAGGTACTAGTACGCTGTCTGTCTGTTCATGATGTTAAGTCTTGTATGTAGCAAGAGGTACTGGTACGCTGTCTGTCTGTTCATGATGTTAAGTCTTGTATGTAGCAAGAGGTATTGGTACGCTGTCTGTCTGTTCATGATGTTAAGTCTTGTATGTAGCAAGAGGTACTGGTACGCTGTCTGTTCATGATGTTAAGTCTTGTATGTAGCAAGAGGTATTGGTACGCTGTCTGTTCATGATGTTAAGTTTTGTATGTAGCAAGAGGTACTGGTACGCTGTCTGTTCATGATGTTAAGTCTTGTATGTAGCAAGAGGTACTAGTACGCTGTCTGTCTGTTCATGATGTTAAGTCTTGTATGTAGCAAGAGGTACTAGTACGCTGTCTGTCTGTTCATGATGTTAAGTCTTGTATGTAGCAAGAGGTACTGGTACGCTGTCTGTTCATGATGTTAAGTCTTGTATGTAGCAAGAGGTACTGGTACGCTGTCTGTTCATGATGTTAAGTTTTGTATGTAGCAAGAGGTACTGGTACGCTGTCTGTCTGTTCATGATGTTAAGTCTTGTATGTAGCAAGAGGTACTGGTACGCTGTCTGTTCATGATGTTAAGTCTGGTATGTAGCAAGAGGTACTAGTACGCTGTCTGTCTGTTCATGATGTTAAGTCTTGTATGTAGCAAGAGGTACTGGTACGCTGTCTGTTCATGATGTTAAGTCTTGTATGTAGCAAGAGGTACTAGTACGCTGTCTGTTCATGATGTTAAGTCTTGTATGTAGCAAGAGGTACTGGTACGCTGTCTGTTCATGATGTTAAGTCTTGTATGTAGCAAGAGGTACTGGTACGCTGTCTGTCTGTTCATGATGTTAAGTCTTGTATGTAGCAAGAGGTACTAGTACGCTGTCTGTTCATGATGTTAAGTCTTGTATGTAGCAAGAGGTACTGGTACGCTGTCTGTTCATGATGTTAAGTCTTGTATGTAGCAAGAGGTACTAGTACGCTGTCTGTCTGTTCATGATGTTAAGTCTCGTATGTAGCAAGAGGTACTAGTACGCTGTCTGTCTGTTCATGATGTTAAGTCTTGTATGTAGCAAGAGGTACTGGTACGCTGTCTGTTCATGATGTTAAGTCTTGTATGTAGCAAGAGGTACTAGTACGCTGTCTGTTCATGATGTTAAGTCTTGTATGTAGCAAGAGGTACTGGTACGCTGTCTGTTCATGATGTTAAGTCTTGTATGTAGCAAGAGGTACTGGTACGCTGTCTGTTCATGATGTTAAGTCTTGTATGTAGCAAGAGGTACTGGTACGCTGTCTGTCTGTTCATGATGTTAAGTCTTGTATGTAGCAAGAGGTACTAGTACGCTGTCTGTTCATGATGTTAAGTCTTGTATGTAGCAAGAGGTACTAGTACGCTGTCTGTTCATGATGTTAAGTCTTGTATGTAGCAAGAGGTACTGGTACGCTGTCTGTTCATGATGTTAAGTCTTGTATGTAGCAAGAGGTACTAGTACGCTGTCTGTCTGTTCATGATGTTAAGTCTCGTATGTAGCAAGAGGTACTGGTAAGCTGTCTGTCTGTTCATGATGTTAAGTCTTGTATGTAGCAAGAGGTATTGGTACGCTGTCTGTCTGTTCATGATGTTAAGTCTTGTATGTAGCAAGAGGTATTGGTACGCTGTCTGTTCATGATGTTAAGTCGTGTATGTAGCAAGAGGTACTGGTACGCTGTCTGTCTGTTCATGATGTTAAGTCTTGTATGTAGCAAGAGGTATTGGTACGCTGTCTGTCTGTTCATGATGTTAAGTCTTGTATGTAGCAAGAGGTACTGGTACGCTGTCTGTCTGTTCATGATGTTAAGTCTTGTATGTAGCAAGAGGTACTAGTACACTGTCTGTCTGTTCATGATGTTAAGTCTTGTATGTAGCAAGAGGTATTGGTACGCTGTCTGTTCATGATGTTAAGTCTTGTATGTAGCAAGAGGTATTGGTACGCTGTCTGTCTGTTCATGATGTTAAGACTTGTATGTAGCAAGAGGCATTGGTACGCTGTCTGTCTGTTCACGCAATGCTCGCATGTCTCCATCTAACAGATGTGCAGCCCCCAGTGGAAAGACACCAAGTTCGCCAGCTCCAATTATTTTACTTTTCTGATTGGCAGGTGCAGCATCAAAAACCAGGTGGGATTTGCAAGTGTTTCACTCTCTGTCTGCACTCTGTATCTGCACTCTCTGCACTCTGTATCTGCTCTCTGTGTCTGCTCTCTGTATCTGCTCTCTGTATCTGCTCTCTGTATCTGCACTCTGTATCTGCTCTCTGTATCTGCTCTCTGTATCTGCTCTCTGTATCTGCTCTCTGTATCTGCACTCTGTATCTGCTCTCTGTATCTGCTCTCTGTATCTGCTCTCTGTATCTGCTCTCTGTATCTGCTCTCTGTATCTGCTCTCTGTATCTGCACTTTGTATCTGCACTCTGTGTCGGCACTCTGTATCTGCTCTCTGTATTTGCTCTCTGTATCTGCACTCTGTGTCTGCTATCTGTGTCTGGTGTCTGTGACTGCTCCTATTGTTTGTATTTGCTGTACGCTGTGCTGTCCGTACAATATGTGTCTCAGTACACTGTTTAGACACTCAGTGCTGTCAATACACTAACAACCCTCCCCCCCCCCCACCTCCCATCCTGACCAGACCACCACGAGCCAAGTGTCCCCTTTCAATGAACCCGCCAAGTACAACGTCATGCTGGACAAGGCGAGGGAGTTTCTCTATGGACACGCCATGTTCGGCTTCTCATCGGACACCGATGGGGTAGGTCATGTACAATCTAGGGTTAAGGTCATGTACACTCTAGGGTTGAGGTCATGTACAATCTAGGGTTGAGGTCATGTACACTGTAGGGTTGAGGTCATGTACACTGTAGGGTTGAGGTCATGTATTGAGGTCATGTACACTGTAGGGTTGAGGTCATGTACACTGTAGGGTTGAGGTCATGTACACTGTAGGGTTAAGGTCATGTACACTGTAGGGTTGAGATCATGTACACTGTAGGGTTGAGATCATGTACACTGTAGGGTTAAGGTCATGTACACTGTAGGGTTAAGGTCATGTACACTGTAGGGTTGAGATCATGTACACTGTAGGGTTGAGATCATGTACACTGTAGGGTTGAGGTCATGTACACTGTAGGGTTGAGGTCATGTACACTCTAGGGTTGAGGTCATGTACACTGTAGGGTTGAGGTCATGTACACTGTAGGGTTGAGGTCATGTACACTGTAGGGTTGAGGTCGGGTACACTGTAGGGTTGAGGTCATGTACACTGTAGGGTTAAGGTCATGTACACTGTAGGGTTGAGGTCATGTACACTGTAGGGTTGAGGTCATGTACACTGTAGGGTTGAGGTCATGTACACCCTAGAGTTGAGGTCGGGTACACTGTAGGGTTGAGGTCATGTGCACTGTAGGGTTGAGGTCATGTACACTGTAGGGTTAAGGTCATGTACACTGTAGGGTTGAGGTCATGTACACTGTAGGGTTGAGGTCATGTACACTGTAGGGTTAAGGTCATGTACACTGTAGGGTTGAGGTCGGGTACACTGTAAGGTTGAGGTCATGTACACTGTAGGGTTAAGGTCATGTACACTGTAGGGTTAAGTTCATGTACACTGTAGGGTTAAGGTCATGTACACTGTAGGGTTGAGGTCGGGTACACTGTAGGGTTGAGGTCATGTACACTGTAGGGTTGAGGTCGGGTACACTGTAGGGTTGAGGTCGGGTACACTGTAGGGTTGAGGTCATGTACACTGTAGGGTTGAGGTCATGTACACTGTAGGGTTGAGGTCGGGTACACTGTAGGGTTGAGGTCGGGTACACTGTAGGGTTGAGGTCATGTACACTGTAGGGTTAAGGTCATGTACACTGTAGGGTTAAGGTCATGTACACTGTAGGGTTAAGGTCATGTACACTGTAGGGTTGAGGTCGGGTACACTGTAGGGTTGAGGTCATGTACACTGTAGGGTTGAGGTCGGGTACACTGTAGGGTTGAGGTCGGGTACACTGTAGGGTTGAGGTCATGTACACTGTAGGGTTGAGGTCATGTACACTGTAGGGTTGAGGTCGGGTACACTGTAGGGTTGAGGTCATGTACACTGTAGGGTTGAGGTCGGGTACACTGTAGGGTTGAGGTCATGTACACTGTAGGGTTAAGGTCATGTACACTGTAGGGTTGAGGTCGGGTACACTGTAGGGTTGAGGTCGGGTACACTGTAGGGTTGAGGTCATGTACACTGTAGGGTTGAGGTCATGTACACTGTAGGGTTAAGGTAATGTACACTGTAGGGTTGAGGTCGGGTACACTGTAGGGTTGAGGTCATGTAAACTGTAGGGTTGAGGTCGGGTACACTGTAGGGTTGAGGTCGGGTACTACTAGGTGATAGGGATGAGGTTAGTGTCGGTAATACTAGAAATAAATAAATGATTTCGTTTAATTATTTTTTGTTAATCTTTTTGAATTTTGTGAACATCTAATCCTACAACATTTTTTTCCCAATGTTAGGGTTCGGTGCACGTCCTGGGGGCACCGGGAATTATGATGTTTGAGGGTAAGTTCAATACTTCCGGTCGCTAAGTAACTGACCTACATATTAGACGCCTAACCTACTTATTGAACGCCTGACCTACTTATTGAACGCCTGACCTACTCACGCTCTTGGTCGATCTGTCACGTTATTCCAAATTGGAGCTAATAAAAATTAAGTTTTTGTTTACTGGTGACAAAATGAGGCAATAAAATCACGTCAGTTTTGTGACAAATCATACCAGAAATGTGATAAGTCACACAAAAACGACTCTACGTCCTTCTCTGGTCAATCACACTACGGACCTTTACATCTCGCCGGGCACCTACAGATCACCCTCACTGCACGTGTGCACACACACGCACACAAATAACCACACACACGCACACAAATAACCACACTCACACACACAACTACACTGACAAACACACGCCTTTTTATATTTACGATGGGCTGGAATGTTATGACACGCTTGGTGAAAGTGTTTAACATCGCTCAGACCGTAAGTTCATGTTTAACATCGCTCAGACCGTAAGTTCATGTTTAACATCGCTCAGACCGTAAGTTCATGTTTAACATCGCTCAGACCCTAAGTTCATGTTTAACATCGCTCAGACCCTAAGTTCATGTTTAACATCGCTCAGACCGTAAGTTCATGTTTAACATCGCTCAGACCCTAAGTTCATGTTTAACATCGCTCAGACCGTAAGTTCATGTTTAACATCGCTCAGACCGTAAGTTCATGTTTAACATCGCTCAGACCGTAAGTTCATGTTTAACATCGCTCAGACCCTAAGTTCATGTTTAACATCGCTCAGACCCTAAGTTCATGTTTAACATCGCTCAGACCCTAAGTTCATGTTTAACATCGCTCAAACCTTAAGTTCATGTTTAACATCGCTCAGACCGTAAGTTCATGTTTAACATCGCTCAGACCCTAAGTTCATGTTTAACATCGCTCAGACCCTAAGTTCATGTTTAACATCGCTCAGACCGTAAGTTCATGTTTAACATCGCTCAGACCCTAAGTTCATGTTTAACATCGCTCAGACCCTAAGTTCATGTTTAACATCGCTCAGACCTTAAGTTCATGTTTAACATCGCTCAGACCGTAAGTTCATGTTTAACATCGCTCAGACCCTAAGTTCATGTTTAACATCGCTCAGACCCTAAGTTCATGTTTAACATCGCTCAGACCGTAAGTTCATCTACAGTTGAGGATTAAGTGGAAGGCTGAGCGAACCCCGGCTTTACAAGCTTTTATTTGACTCACTTCCTCTGTCGTCAGTCTGTCGTCAGTCTGTCTGTCTAGATTGAAACGCCCGAGCGAAATTGCATGTACTTCTAACTGAAAGATACGGCTCGTAGTTGGTAGGTTGCTCAAGACATGAAGAAAATGCAACATGACATTAAATTTGACGTAGGTGGTAGCCTGATAAATTTTTTATGAATTAATTAAAATTTTGACCACATTAGTAGGCAGTCTTATCCAACTATTCCGCGCTATTAGACACGCGTCATCACGTTCAATAGGTGCGCAATGGGTTTTAGTCAAGCAACTCTAGTGTAAATAAAACATGTAAAGTACTAAGTGCTTTTCTTTATAGTTATTTAAATAGTAGTGTATGCTTTATTTTCTAATTTTTAGTGCATTATTACATAAAAGCTTGTTATTAAAACGTGTTTTATGAAATTTTTTCAAGCTTTTATTTAACTCGCTGTCTCTATCTAGATCGAAACGCCCGAGCGAAATTCCAAGTAATAAAGTCTAGACCAGCTATCCCTTATGACTATAAAATGGATTCATTTCAGAATTATATCTTGTACTGAATGTCGTCATTTATGGAATATGATATTTGATTTTAAACGGTTGGGACGTTTTAAAAGATTAAATTCATTATTTTAAAGCTAATAGGTAATTGAAAAGGAAACATGAAAATAAAAAGTATAGAAAAAATCTAACTTGGTGTGGCCAGACGATAATTTGTTCTTGCAGGAAATGTTTACATCATGGACTTGCAGAGCATGAAAAATGCTACGGTGCCAATTGTTACAGACAATAAAATCAACTCAACGGCCTACGGTTATACAGGTGAGAATACGTTGGTAGATTTTAAAAGGGAGAATAAGTTTGTAGATTGTATACAGTGTTTCTTCCAGACTTTTTTCTCCGGGGGGGGGGGGGGGGCACTTGAAATTTTCGGGGGGGGGGGGGAGAGGGGAGTAGACTTTCTTCGGGAGGGGGGGGCGGACACTGCTAAAAGTCTATATTTTATATATAAATTTCATTTCGTTCGGGGGGGGGGGGGGGGGGGCGGTAGACTTTTCTCCGCTACCCCCCCCCCCCCCCCCCCCCCCGAAAAGATGTCTGGAAGAAACTCTGATTGTAAATTTGAGAAAGTGACCTATATCTGCCCCCCCCCCCACTGGCCACATTAAACTCATAACAACAGCGAACTATGGCTGTATACAAGATGCGCAGCTGGTCACTGCGACGGTCAACCTACAGCTTTTTTAGCCAGATAACACAACAGGTGTCTAATCAACTGTCGGTCTCACCCACCTGGCGTGACGACACACCCGGTCACGTGTCACTGCCTAACTCACTGGTGACTGACAGACGTCCGTCCACCTACAGACTTGGTTGAGTCTTGGTTTTATCCCGACATCCAGTCCATCAGGCTAGTTGTGGTTCATGGACTCTAACGAATCACAACTTCACAACTCTATCAGGCTAAATGTGGTTCATGGACTCTAACGAATCACAACTTCACAACTCTATCAGGCTAAATGTGGTTCATGGACTCTAACAAATCACAAATCTAGACTAAACCACTGACCACTAAACCAGTCCATCGTGCTAGATGTGGCTCATGGACTCTAACCAATCTATCAAGACTAAACCACTGACCACACACATAGGTTAAATCACTGACCACACACCTAGACTAAACCACTGACCACACACCTAGACTATTCCACTGACCACACACCTAGGTTAAACCACTGACCACACACCTAGACTAAACCACTGACCACACACCTAGACTATTCCACTGACCACACACATAGGTTAAACCACTGACCACACACCTAGACTAAACCACTGACCACACACATAGGTTAAACCACTAACCACACACCTAGGTTAAACCACTGACCACACACCTAGACTAAACAACTGACCACACACCTAGACTAAACCACTGACCACACACCTAGGTTAAACTACTGACCACACACCTAGACTAAACCACCGACCACACACCTAGACTAAACCACTGACCACACACATAGGTTAAACCACTGACCACACACCTAGACTAAACCACTGACCACACACATAGGTTAAACCACTGACCACACACCTAGACTAAACCACTGACCACACACCTAGACTAAACCACTGACCACACACCTAGACTAAACCACTGACCACACACCTAGACTAAACCACTGACCACACACCTAGGTTAAACCACTAACCACACACCTAGACTAAACCACTGACCACACACCTAGACTAAACCACTGACCACACACCTAGACTAAACCACTGACCACACACCTAGGTTAAACTACTGACCACACACCTAGGTTAAACCACTGACCACACACCTAGGTTAAACCACTGACCACACACCTAGACTAAACCACTGACCACACACATAGGTTAAACCACTGACCACACACCTAGACTAAACCACTGACCACACACATAGGTTAAACCACTGACCACACACCTAGACTAAACCACTGACCACACACCTAGACTATTCCACTGACCACACACCTAGACTAAACCACTGACCACACACATAGGTTAAACCACTGACCACACACCTAGACTAAACCACTGACCACACACATAGGTTAAACCACTGACCACACACCTAGACTAAACCACTGACCACACACCTAGACTAAACCACTGACCACACACATAGGTTAAACCACTGACCACACACCTAGACTAAACCACTGACCACACACCTAGACTAAACCACTGACCACACACATAGGTTAAACCACTGACCACAAACCTAGACTAAACCACTGACCACACACCTAGACTAAACCACTGACCACACACATAGGTTAAACCACTGACCACACACCTAGACTAAACCACTGACCACACACCTAGACTAAACCACTGACCACACACCTACACTAAACCACTGACCACACACCTAGACTAAACCACTGACCACACACATAGGTTAAACCACTGACCACACACCTAGACTAAACCACTGACCACACACCTAGGCTAAACCACTGACCACTGACCACACACCTAGACTAAACCACTGACCACACACCTAGACTAAACCACTGACCACACACCTACACTAAACCACTGACCACACACCTAGACTAAACCACTGACCACACACCTAGACTAAACCACTGACCACACACCTAGACTAAACCACTGACCACACACCTAGACTAAACCACTGACCACACACCTAGACTAAACCACTGACTACACACCTACACTTAACCACTGACCACACACCTAGACTAAACCACTGACCACACACATAGGTTAAACCACTGACCACACACCTAGACTAAACCACTGACCACACACCTAGGCTAAACCACTGACCACTGACCACACACCTAGACTAAACCACTGACCACACACCTACACTAAACCACTGACCACACACCTAGACTAAACCACTGACCACACACCTAGACTAAACCACTGACCACACACCTAGGCTAAACCACTGAACACTAACACCCTTAAAAACACTCACAAAACTCACAACCCTCACATCCCTTACAACCCTCACAACCCTCACATCCTCAGGTTACTCTGTGAAGCTGGGCAAGTTTTGTGATGGGACTGGGATCTGTTTGGCAGCTGGTGCTCCCAACATGCGAAGGTTTGGCACGGTAGGTCAGCACCACTTCACACTTTAGGTCAGTACCACCTCACACTTTAGGTCAGCACCACCTCACACTTTAGGTCAGTACCACCTCACACTTTAGGTCAGCACCACCTCACACTTTAGGTCAGCACCACCTCACACTTTAGGTCAGCACCACCTCACACTTTAGGTCAGCACCACCTCACACTTTAGGTCAGCACCACCTCACACTTTAGGTCAGCACCACCTCACACTTTAGGTCAGCACCACCTCACACTTTAGGTCAGCACCACCTCACACTTTAGGTCAGCACCACCTCACACTTTAGGTCAGCACCACCTCACACTTTAGGTCAGCACCACCTCACACTTTAGGTCAGCACCACCTCACACTTTAGGTCAGCACCACCTCACACTTTAGGTCAGCACCACCTCACACTTTAGGTCAGCACCACCTCACCTTTTCGGTCAGAAGGACCTTACAAATTTAACAGGCTCATCTACAATGTGTACATCTATATAACAAGCTCCCTAGAATGTGTAAATCTATATAACAAACTCCCCTAGAATTTGTACATCTATTCTCAAAGGTTTTCCTGCTGCAGTGGAGAAGCAAGGATGACAAATATCTGGACACCATATACAGTCTTGAGGGAGAACAGGTAAGATTTAGATTTGACACATACAGTTTTGAAGTAGGTTAGGTAAGATTTAGATTTGAGACATGCAGTCTTGAAGGACACCAGGCAAGATTTAGATTTGACACATACTGTCTTGAAGGAGTCTAGGTAAGATTTGTATTTGACACATACAGTCTTGACGTAGGTTAGGTAAAATTTAGATTTTAAAAATACAGTCATGAAGGAGGTTAGGTAAGATTTAGAATTTAGAAACACACGTCATCTTCTTATATTTTATTTTCAATTCATATCCACCAGCTTTAGGACGCACTAAAAATAAAATAATTTACATTTTATTTGGTTATGGCGTTATGCACATATTCTAGATCTATGAGATTACTGGCACATGTTCTAGATCTATGAGATTACTGGCACATGTTCTAATTCTGTGAACCTACTGGGCACATGTTCTCCAGGCCTGGTCCATGTTTGGCTACAGTCTGTGTGCTGTCGATGTGGATGCTGATGGATACGACGAGCTGTTGGTGGGAGCCCCACATTACACAGTGATGGAGAGGGCGGTGGACGGGCAAGATCAGGGACGAGTCTTTGTATACTCACGTTCTGCCAGTTCACAGGTCAGGGATTCACAAATTTGTAGCTAAATAATTAGGTCAAGGATTCACAAGTTTGTAGCTAAATAATTAGGTCGGGATTCACAAATTTGTAGCTAAATAATTAGGTCAGTGTGACCTACTTAGGTCGAGTCAGGTTCCATTTTTATTTTGACATTGTATAATTCCTTATAGGGAGTGATGGTGCAACAACCGGGGTTTTTCCACTGACTTATTAAGGTGTCTAGGACCTAGAAATTTTCCATTAAGATCTGATTGAATGATTCTGATCAGATGACTATCCCAACCAATGGCTACATGAGTTGAGGATAATCTCCCCTGTTGCAGAAGTCTTTAACTGCACCGCACACTCGCCACACGTGGCAGTTTACCTTGATCAGGCCGTCTACCTTGATCAAACAGTCTATTAAGACCAAGCCGTCCATATTGTCCGGCAATAGATTCTGACCATTTGAACGTGAGAGAACCTAAGTCATGTGTGTGCTACGCTTTCTTAAGTTGATTTAGTCTTCTAGTATAATATTACTTGTCGCCAAGTAATTCTTGAAGCTATAGCAGTGTTGTGTGGCCTGTGGCTATTTTTAGGCAGTGTTGAAATCTGTGATAGTGTTTTTTCTTACATTTTGTAAGTTGGGTTTTAAGATTTTATACATTAAATATTTTATCTAGTTTAACCTTGTGTTCTGCCACAACTGTGTTCGCTTATTAAAGGTTGTATGCAGATTGGATGAGTGTTAATTACAATAGTATCACTAGTTTCCCTAGACATCGAATACGAGCCCTAGTGTGTCGTTGTGTTAGTGTTCATCCATTTAGGCCGTAAAGCATTTGCATATAACCCCGAAAAAAGAATCCGGGGACGTTCACCTTCTATCTGGCTGATAGATAGGTAAACGTTACAAAGTGGGGGCTCGCCGAGATTTAATCTGTCGTTCCAGTTGTTGGTTATATCAGTAAGCACTAAGTTTAGTTTGATTTAGTTGTTTTTTTATCCAGTGCGCCGTGTTCTTACAGCGCGCGCAAGGCTAGAGGTATCTAGGTCAATAGCCAGACGTGTCACGTCCTAGATTGAAGAGGTCAAGTACACGGCCCAACGCTCGGTGTTAAGTTAGAAAACCTAGGCTTGTTGTGTTTTGAAAGTTAGTGTTATGGAGTCTTTTTTGGCTAATCCCACTTTTGAGGAGGTCGAGAAGTTGAGTAGAAAAGTTTTGATTAGTGTTGTTAAGGAATTGAAATTGGATTATTCGGTTACGCAGAAATCAGAGGTGTTGAGAGATAAAATTGTTGTTCATTTTATTAATGAAGGAGTATTTGACGAAAGTTTGTTGGCTGGTGTGTTACTCCGCGAGGAGAAACCTCTAGAGAAGATAGAATTAGAAGCTAGAATTGCTTTAGAGAAACAGGAGTTAGAGGCTAAAATTGCTTTAGATAAGAGGAGGTTGGAATTAGAGTTTGGTCAAGTTAGTGATGTCACTTCTCTGGTAGATCCAAAAAAGTTGTCGGTGGGGCAAGTGATTGCCAAATTCGGGAAATTAGTTCCTAAATTTGATGAAACAGATTTGGTCGTTTTCTTTAACTCATTTGAGAGTTTAGCGAAGACATGTGAATGGCCCGAAACTTCCATTACTGCTTTATTGAGCTCGGTCCTTACTGGGAAAGCTGCAAAAACATACCAGGCACTCTCTCACGACGTTCAAAATAACTATAGTTTGGTCAAGACTGCCATTTTGAAGGCCTACGCACTGACGCCCGAGGCCTATCGGACAAAATTCCGAACACTCCGCAAGTTACCCACTCAATCATATGTGGAATTTCTCTTTGAAAAGGAGAAAAAATTCTCAAGGTGGCTACACTCTGAGGAAGTTTCTGAGTTTGAGAAGCTCAGGTCACTTATCCTAAGGGAAGAATTCCTAACGTCCCTGCCTGAAGAGATACGACTACACATACTGGATAACAAGATAACTGACATCCAGAAGGCTGCTGAGTCGGCTGACACATATATGTTGGTGCATAAGAAACCACCAGTGTCAGGAAACCGCCTCAACCCCGTGCTTCCCCTTTTTGGCAGCAATCCTCCTGTTGGCCAACACGTGAAGGCATTACAGTCCAGAGAGAAACCAAGATCAACTCTCAATCGTCGAGCGGTATGCCAGTTCTGCAAAAGACCTGGTCATCATGTCAAGGACTGTTACAAACGTCGTCAATATAACAGAGAGGTGGTGCGTACTTCTGCGCACTATGCTCTATCCCCTCAAGCAGCCAGTTCAACTATGAACTCTAGAATTCTAAAGGACTCTAACCCTAAGTGTCCGCAAGAAGGTAGTCAAGTCTCCACACGTTATGTGCAGTCACATTTTGACTGTTCTCGCCACCATCCAGTTTCTTCCGAGTCTACCGATCTCGAGGGATCGAGAAAAGTTGACTTTTCATCTTTTATTGCCGAAGCCATCATTAGCAAACCAGGTGATCCGTTGTCTCAGCGGAATATCACCGTCCTAAGAGACACAGGAGCGTCACAATCACTCCTTTTGAAAAGTTCAATGGACATTACACCTGAAACGAACACCGGAAGGATTTCCATTATCCAGGGAGTGGGGACAAAATCTACTGTCGTCCCTCTACACAAGTTTGCCCTGAAACATCATCTCGTCGAAGGTGAAGTCATTTTAGGTGTGATAGATAGTATTCCTGTCCCAGGAGTACACCTACTTCTAGGGAATGACCTTGCGGGAAGCAAAGTATACCCCTGTACGGTTTCAGACCCTTTGTCAACAGTTCCAGATAATGATAATGAACTGTATCCTGCATGTGCGGTGACAAGAAGCCAGACCAAACAATTGGCTGACACAACGTCTGAACCACACCTACCATCATCGTCAAGAAATTCGACTCCCAAACTGGAGTCTATGCTTCCAGAAAACACAAGCCTGGGCTTACCCCTGAGAATATCTCAGGAAGACATCATTAAAGCTCAACAAGTCGACGCGGAACTCAAAGCAACGGTCGAAAAATCTCTCTCATCTGACGATGGAGAATATTTCTCCGAGAACGGCCTCTTCTTTCGTCGCTCTATACCAGTGAATGCCTCACCAGCCGAACCATGGTTGGGTAAAAACCAGCTGTGGGTCCCTCCACCTTATCGGCATGAAATACTTAAACTGGCACATGACCATCCAATGTCAGCGCACCCAGGAGTCTCTAAAACGACGGCGAAGATCAAAGAACTGTTCTTTTGGCCCAAAATGAGAAATGATGTGTCGCGTTACTGTAAAAGTTGCACGAACTGTCAGTTGGCCGGAAAGCCAAACCAGACAATTCCTAAGGCCCCTTTGAGTCCGATTCCTGTATTAGAAGAACCTTTTTCTAAAATCGTCATGGACTGTGTAGGTCCCTTGCCTAAAACCAAGGCGGGCAACGAGTACCTACTTACCTTTATGTGTTCAAGTACCCGTTTTCCCGAGGCGATTCCCTTACGGAACATTAAGGCAAAGACTGTAGTCAGAGCCATGACCCGGTTCTTCACTACCTTTGGGTTACCTAGAATCGTGCAAACAGATCAAGGCAGCAACTTCACCAGTCACCATTTTCAGGAAGCACTAGCCAAGCTAGGCGTTACCCACATCACCAGCTCAGCCTACCACCCTCAGTCTCAAGGCGTACTTGAGAGGTTCCACCAAACCCTCAAAACCATGCTAAGAACGTTCGCTAACAGTAACACCCAATGGGATGAGTCAGTTCCTTGGATTATTTTCGCCGCGAGGGACTGTGTCCAGGACTCTTTAGGCTACTCGCCTTTTCAACTTGTGTTTGGACATTCTGTCCGTGGTCCCCTGAAGCTGATACACGAACAGTGGACAGGTACCAGCGTTCATCCTGTGGAAAACTTTGACGATTTTCACGTTCGACTGAAAGCCGTGTGCGAAATGGCTCACAAGAACTTAAGAAAGGCCCAAGTGAGAATGAAAGGACTGTACGATAAGAGTTCTCGTAAACGAACATTCAATCCAGGCGACAAAGTTCTTGTGTTAGTGCCTAATCTGAACAATGCGTTATCCTTGAGATATTGTGGACCCTTTACTGTGCATTCAAAATTAAGTGATTTGAACTATGTTGTCAATACGCCCGACAGAAGAAAGAAACAGACAGTGTATCATGTTAACTCACTGAAAAAGTATTATGATAATTGTAACAATGTTCATTCCACAGCTAAAATTACTTTACCTGTATGTTCAAATGTTTCTGATGATGTGATACATGATAAATTGAAACCCCCAAAATTGGTAAATTCTTCCTTTTTAGATAATTTGAATGTCCACCTTATGCATTTGTCCACAGAGGAAAGCCATAGATTGTCTCAATTATTCGAGACATTTCCCTCTATTTTTGGGGATGTCCCCAAAGAAGCGAAGGTTCCACCTCATGATGTAGACGTAGGTGACGCAAAACCCATCAAACAACACCCCTATAGAGTTAATCCGGGAAAAGCTGCTTTGATAAAAGATGAAATTGATTATATGCTCAAGAATGATATCATTGAGCCCAGTTTCAGCAGCTGGAGTTCCCCATGTCTCCTAGTCCCGAAAGACGGTGGATCTTTCAGGTTTGTGACCGACTTTAGGAAGGTAAATGCGCTCACCAAAGCTGATTCCTATCCATTACCTCGGATAGAAGACGTTATTGATAAAGTTGGTCAGGCTAAGATAATTTCCAAAATTGATTTACTTTCAGGATACTGGCAAATCCCCTTATCTGACCGTGCAAAAGAAATATCTGCTTTTGTAACCCCTAATGGTTTTTATAGATACAAACGTATGCCCTTTGGTATGCGAAATGCTGGTCAAACTTTCCAGAGGGTCATTAACTCTGTCATTGCTGACATAGACCAATGTGAAGCCTACATAGATGATATAGTTGTATTTTCTAATACTTTTGAAGAACATATTGTTCAGTTGACTAACCTTTTTAGAAAATTGTCTGAAGTGAATTTTACTGTAAACTTACATAAAAGTAATTTCTGTAAAGCTTCAATTACCTATTTGGGTTATCAAGTGGGAACGAACCAAGTTCGGCCCATTGAAGCTAAAGTAGATGCTATTGTAAGGTTACCACCTCCCAAAAATTGTAAAGAGATCAAAAAGTTCCTTGGGATGGCTGGTTACTATAGGCGGTTCTGTCAAAACTTTTCAGCTGTTGCTGAACCTCTTACTGCATTATTGAAAAAGGGTGTTGAGTTTGAATGGTCAAATAAATGTCAAGAAGCTTTTTTAACCATTAAGTCATTTTTATCTAATGCTCCTGTTATGGCTGCACCAGATTTCAGCAAACCCTTTAAACTTGCCATTGATGCTAGCAACTTAGCCATTGGTTCAGTCCTATTTCAAGAAGACAACATGGGAATTGACCATCCCATTGCCTTTTTTTCCAGGAAGTTAAATGAGAACCAAAAGAATTACTCTACTATTGAAAAAGAAGCTTTAGCTTTGGTTTTGTCATTACAACATTTTGAAGTCTATGTCTCTTCTTCAACCAATCCAGTCAGAGTGTTTTCTGACCATGATCCCCTGAAGTTAGGACAGACAAATCAAAGAATATTGAGATGGTGCTTATATTTCCAAAATTTTAATCTGGAAATTTCACACATTAAGGGTAGTGATAATGTTGTGGCTGATTGTCAAGGATGTAAAATCTTATTGCACACATTGATCATGTGACATGTTTGGTGGTTCATTAAGACCATACACAAGTGTTGTGTTTGGGTGACACTCACATGAAAATGAGTGGTATGATTTTTGATTTTTTCAAAATTCCAATCATGTTGAATATTTTGTTTATTTTCAGGTGAACCTTAATTAAAGGTGGTTTTTGATTATATGTAATCTTTTATAATAGTATGTCTCATATGACTCAGTTGATATTGTAGCTAGTCATTGAAATAAAGGTCTTACCCTGGCGGGTTTACCACTTTTAATATCCACATGGAAATATTGTAATACCCTTTTCTGAGGGATTTTGATGTATAATTACCTTTTTGAAGGGTTACTCCCCTTTCACCAATTGTAAAAGTTGGAATTACTTCCCTTTTATGTTCAGGGATATTTTCATCTGGTATTATGATTTTGATTGCCTACATTTGTAAAACATTTTTTTTATTTTCATTGCCAGATTGGTTCCTTATGTATGTTTTTGTGGAACCTATCTGTCACTTCCAAAAAGGGAGGGGATGTGACCTACTTAGGTCGAGTCAGGTTCCATTTTTATTTTGACATTGTATAATTCCTTATAGGGAGTGATGGTGCAACAACCGGGGTTTTTCCACTGACTTATTAAGGTGTCTAGGACCTAGAAATTTTCCATTAAGATCTGATTGAATGATTCTGATCAGATGACTATCCCAACCAATGGCTACATGAGTTGAGGATAATCTCCCCTGTTGCAGAAGTCTTTAACTGCACCGCACACTCGCCACACGTGGCAGTTTACCTTGATCAGGCCGTCTACCTTGATCAAACAGTCTATTAAGACCAAGCCGTCCATATTGTCCGGCAATAGATTCTGACCATTTGAACGTGAGAGAACCTAAGTCATGTGTGTGCTACGCTTTCTTAAGTTGATTTAGTCTTCTAGTATAATATTACTTGTCGCCAAGTAATTCTTGAAGCTATAGCAGTGTTGTGTGGCCTGTGGCTATTTTTAGGCAGTGTTGAAATCTGTGATAGTGTTTTTTCTTACATTTTGTAAGTTGGGTTTTAAGATTTTATACATTAAATATTTTATCTAGTTTAACCTTGTGTTCTGCCACAACTGTGTTCGCTTATTAAAGGTTGTATGCAGATTGGATGAGTGTTAATTACAATAGTATCACTAGTTTCCCTAGACATCGAATACGAGCCCTAGTGTGTCGTTGTGTTAGTGTTCATCCATTTAGGCCGTAAAGCATTTGCATATAACCCCGAAAAAAGAATCCGGGGACGTTCACCTTCTATCTGGCTGATAGATAGGTAAACGTTACATCAGGGATTCATAAATTTGGTGCTAAATATTTAGGTCAGGGATATACAAATTTGGTGCTAAATAATTAGGTCAGGGATTCACACAATTGTAACTAATTAATTAGGTCATGGATTGACAAATTGGTAACTAAATAATCAACTCAGAGATTCACAAGTTTGTAGCTAAACTAAATTAAGTGCTGAAACATTGAAAACGTTGTGCGCACTTCGTGATGTGAGGGCAGTGGCGGATCCAGTGTCGCCATTCGGGGAGCGTTGAGACCATTTGCAGTTTTATACAATCAGACAAAATAAATTAAAAAAAAAAACGATCTATAAATTTCTTGCATCTTTGCCTCGATAGTGGTTGTACAAATGAAACAATTTTATATAGTTACTTAATCAGATCGAAGAGTAAAAAAAAAACCAATGACATTTACAGGTTAATTAATTAATTAAGGTTATACATATAAAAATACACCCAAACACATACACTTCACACAAAATGAAGTTGAGGGGATGGTTTTAGAAGCGTCATTACATGCAAGACATTTTCTTTCAGAAGTTGGAACTGAAATCCACACTCGAGGGGACGAAGAAAAGATTTGCTCGCTTTGGTACGGCTGTGGGTAGAGTGGGTGACATCAATCTCGATGGCTATCAGGGTAAGTACATCTGGCTAATGTAGCTGATGTGGCTAACTTTTGTACATCTGGCTAATGTAGCTGATGTGGCTAACGTTTGTACATCTGGCTAATGTAGCTGATGTGGCTAACGTTTGTACATCTGGCTAATGTAGCTGATGTGGCTAACGTTTGTACATCTGGCTAATGTCTGTATATATGGTTAAAGTGAGGCTTATATTTGTACATGTGGATACTATATGTAGATTTGGTTAATATATGTAGGTGTGGCTATTATATGTAGATGTGGCTAATATTTGTAGATGTGGCTAATATATGTAGATGTGGCTAATATAGATGTGGCTAACATTTGTAGATGTGGTTAATATATGTAGATGTGGCTAATATTTGTAGGTGTGGCTAATATTTGTAGATGTGTCTAACATTTGTAGATGTGGCTAATATTTGTAGATGTGGCTAATATTTGTAGATGTGGCTAACATTTGTAGATGTGGTTAATATATGTAGATGTGGCTAATATTTGTAGGTGTGGCTAATATTTGTAGGTGTGGCTAATATTTGCAGATGTGGCTAACATTTGTAGATGTGGCTAACATTTGTAGATGTGGCTAATATTTGTAGATGTTGCTAATATTTGTAGATGTGGCTAATATATGTAGATGTGTCTAACATTTGTAGATGTGGCTGTGGGTGCACCTGGAGAAGACGATGATGCTGGAGCTGTTTACATTTATCTGGGAACAAAGTCAGGTTTTTCCAACCCGGCCCAGCAGAGAATCACGCCATCACAGGTAAACACAGAGGTAGAGTCAGCCATCACAGGTAAACACAGAGGTAGAGTCACAGGTAAACACAGAGGTAGAGTCAGCCATCACAGGTAAACACAGAGGTAGAGTCAGTCATCACAGGTAAACACAGAGGTAGAGTCAGCCATCGCAGGTAAACACAGAGGTAGCGTCAGCAATCACAGGTAAACACAGAGGTAGAGTCAGTCATCACAGGTAAACACAGAGGTAGAGTCAGCCATCACAGGTAAACACAGAGGTAGAGTCAGTCATCACAGGTAAACACAGAGGTAGAGTCACAGGTAAACACAGAGGTAGAGTCAGCCATCACAGGTAAACACAGAGGTAGAGTCAGCCATCACAGGTAAACACAGAGGTAGAGTCAGCCATCACAGGTAAACACAGAGGTAGAGTCAGCCATCACAGGTAAACACAGAGGTAGAGTCACAGGTAAACACAGAGGTAGAGTCAGCCATCACAGGTAAACACAGAGGTAGAATCAGCCATCACAGGTAAACACAGAGGTAGAGTCAGCCATCACAGGTAAACACAGAGGTAGAGTCAACCATCACAGGTAAACATAGAGGTAGAGTCACAGGTAAACACAGACGTAGAGTCACAGGTAAACACAGATGTAGAGTCAGCCATCACAGGTAAACACAGAGGTAGAGTCAGCCATCACAGGTAAACATAGAGGTAGAGTCACAGGTAAACACAGAGGTAGAGTCACAGGTAAACACAGAGGTAGAGTCACCGGTAAACACAGAGGTAGAGTCAGCCATCACAGGTAAACACAGAGGTAGTCATTTTCATCACAGGTAAACACAGAGGTAGAGTCAGCCATCACAGGTAAACACAGAGGTAGAGTCACAGGTAAACACAGATGTAGAGTCAGCCATCACAGGTAAACAAAGAGGTAGAGTCAGCCATCACAGGTAAACACAGAGGTAGAGTCAGCCATCACAGGTAAACACAGAGGTAGAGTCACAGGTAAACACAGAGGTAGAGTCACAGGTAAACACAGAGGTAGAGTCACAGGTAAACACAGAGGTAGAATCAGCCATCACAGGTAAACACAGAGGTAGAGTCAGCAATCACAGGTAAACACAGAGGTAGAGTCACAGGTAAACACAGAGGTGGAGTCAGCCATCACAGGTAAACACAGAGGTAGAGTCAGCCATCACAGGTAAACACAGAGGTAGAGTCAGCCATTACAGGTAAACACAGAGGTAGAGTCAGCCATCACAGGTAAACACAGAGGTAGAGTCACAGGTAAACACAGAGGTAGAGTCAGCCATCACAGGTAAACACAGAGGTAGAGTCAGCCATCACAGGTAAACACAACAGATGGGGATTTTAACTTTAGGGTTCAAGAAATCGCATTGTTAAATAATTCAGTTGTCTCGCTTGACTCTTGTAAGTTGTGTATTTGATCAGTTATCCCCCTCTACTCTTTTAAGTTGTGTATTTGATCAGTTGTCCCCCTTGACTCTTGTAAGTTGTGTATTTGATCAGTTGTCCCCCTTGACTCTTGTAAGTTGTGTATTTGATCAGTTGTCTCCATTGACTCTTGTAAGTTGTGTATTTGATCAGTTGTCTCGCTTGACTCTTGTAAGTTGTGTATTTGATCAGTTGTCTCGCTTGACTCTTGTAAGTTGTGTATTTGATCAGTTGTGTCCCTTGACTCTTGTAAGTTGTGTATTTGATCAGTTGTCTCTCTTGACTCTTGTAAGTTGTGTGTTTGATCAGTTGTCTCGCTTGACTCTTGTAAGTTGTATATTTGATCAGTTGTCCCCCTAGACTCTTGTAAGTTGTGTATTTGATCAGTTGTCTCGCTTGACTCTTGTAAGTTGTGTATTTGATCAGTTGTGTCGCTTGACTCTTGTTAGTTGTGTATTTGATCAGTTGTGTCCCTTGACTCTTGTAAGTTGTGTATTTGATCAGTTGTGTCCCTTGACTCTTGTAAGTTGTGTATTTGATCAGTTGTCTCTCTTGACTCTTGTAAGTTGTGTGTTTGATCAGTTGTCTCGCTTGACTCTTGTAAGTTGTATATTTGATCAGTTGTCCCCCTTGACTCTTGTAAGTTGTGTATTTGATCAGTTGTCTCGCTTGACTCTTGTAAGTTGTGTATTTGATCAGTTGTCTCGCTTGACTCTTGTAAGTTGTGTATTTGATCAGTTGTGTCCCTTGACTCTTGTAAGTTGTGTATTTGATCAGTTGTCTCTCTTGACTCTTGTAACTTGTGTGTTTGATCAGTTGTCTCGCTTGACTCTTGTAAGTTGTATATTTGATCAGTTGTCCCCCTTGACTCTTGTAAGTTGTGTATTTGATCAGTTGTCTCCCTCTACTCTTGTAAGTTGTGTATTTGATCAGTTGTCCCCCTTGACTCTTGTAAGTTGTGTATTTGATCAGTTGTCTCGCTTGACTCTTGTAAGTTGTGTATTTGATCAGTTGTCCCCCTTGACTCTTGTAAGTTGTGTATTTGATCAGTTGTCTCCCTCTACTCTTGTAAGTTGTGTATTTGATCAGTTGTCTCCCTCTACTCTTGTTAGTTGTGTATTTGATCAGTTGTCTCCATTGATCCTTGTAAGTTGTGTATTTGATCTGTTGTCTCCCTCTACTCTTGTAAGTTGTGTATTTGATCAGTTGTCTCGCTCTACTCTTGTAAGTTGTGTATTTGATCAGTTGTCCCCCTTGACTCTTGTAAGTTGTGTATTTGATCAGTTGTCTCGCTCTACTCTTGTATGTTGTGTATTTAATCAGTTGTCTCCATTGACTCTTGTAAGTTGTGTATTTGATCAGTTGTCCCCCTTGACTCTTGTAAGTTGTGTATTTGATCAGTTGTCCCCCTTGACTCTTGTAAGTTGTGTATTTGATCAGTTGTCTCGCTTGACTCTTGTAAGTTGTGTATTTGATCAGTTGTCTCGCTTGACTCTTGTAAGTTGTGTATTTGATCAGTTGTCTCGCTTGACTCTTGTAAGTTGTGTATTTGATCAGTTGTGTCCCTTGACTCTTGTAAGTTGTGTATTTGATCAGTTGTCTCTCTTGACTCTTGTAAGTTGTGTGTTTGATCAGTTGTCTCGCTTGACTCTTGTAAGTTGTATATTTGATCAGTTGTCCCCCTTGACTCTTGTAAGTTGTGTATTTGATCAGTTGTCTCGCTTGACTCTTGTAAGTTGTGTATTTGATCAGTTGTCTCGCTTGACTCTTGTAAGTTGTGTATTTGATCAGTTGTGTCCCTTGACTCTTGTAAGTTGTGTATTTGATCAGTTGTGTCCCTTGACTCTTGTAAGTTGTGTATTTGATCAGTTGTCTCTCTTGACTCTTGTAAGTTGTGTGTTTGATCAGTTGTCTCGCTTGACTCTTGTAAGTTGTATATTTGATCAGTTGTCCCCCTTGACTCTTGTAAGTTGTGTATTTGATCAGTTGTCTCGCTTGACTCTTGTAAGTTGTGTATTTGATCAGTTGTCTCGCTTGACTCTTGTAAGTTGTGTGTTTGATCAGTTGTCTCGCTTGACTCTTGTAAGTTGTATATTTGATCAGTTGTCCCCCTTGACTCTTGTAAGTTGTGTATTTGATCAGTTGTCTCGCTTGACTCTTGTAAGTTGTGTATTTGATCAGTTGTCCCCCTTGACTCTTTTAAGTTGTGTATTTGATCAGTTGTCTCCCTCTACTCTTGTAAGTTGTGTATTTGATCAGTTGTCTCTCTTGACTCTTGTAAGTTGTGTGTTTGATCAGTTGTCTCGCTTGACTCTTGTAAGTTGTATATTTGATCAGTTGTCCCCCTTGACTCTTGTAAGTTGTGTATTTGATCAGTTATCTCCCTCTACTCTTGTAAGTTGTGTATTTGATCAGTTGTCCCCCTTGACTCTTGTAAGTTGTGTATTTGATCAGTTGTCTCGCTTGACTCTTGTAAGTTGTGTATTTGATCAGTTGTCCCCCTTGACTCTTGTAAGTTGTGTATTTGATCAGTTGTCTCCCTCTACTCTTGTAAGTTGTGTATTTGATCAGTTGTCTCCCTCTACTCTTGTTAGTTGTGTATTTGATCAGTTGTCTCCATTGATCCTTGTAAGTTGTGTATTTGATCTGTTGTCTCCCTCTACTCTTGTAAGTTGTGTATTTGATCAGTTGTCTCGCTCTACTCTTGTAAGTTGTGTATTTGATCAGTTGTCCCCCTTGACTCTTGTAAGTTGTGTATTTGATCAGTTGTCTCGCTCTACTCTTGTATGTTGTGTATTTGATCAGTTGTCCCCCTTGACTCTTGTAAGTTGTGTATTTGATCAGTTGTCTCCCTCTACTCTTGTAAGTTGTGTATTTGATCAGTTGTCTCCCTCTACTCTTGTTAGTTGTGTATTTGATCAGTTGTCTCCATTGATCCTTGTAAGTTGTGTATTTGATCTGTTGTCTCCCTCTACTCTTGTAAGTTGTGTATTTGATCAGTTGTCTCGCTCTACTCTTGTAAGTTGTGTATTTGATCAGTTGTCCCCCTTGACTCTTGTAAGTTGTGTATTTGATCAGTTGTCTCGCTCTACTCTTGTATGTTGTGTATTTAATCAGTTGTCTCCATTGACTCTTGTAAGTTGTGTATTTGATCAGTTGTCCCCCTTGACTCTTGTAAGTTGTGTATTTGATCAGTTGTCCCCCTTGACTCTTGTAAGTTGTGTATTTGATCAGTTGTCTCGCTTGACTCTTGTAAGTTGTGTATTTGATCAGTTGTCTCGCTTGACTCTTGTAAGTTGTGTATTTGATCAGTTCTGTCCCTTGACTCTTGTAAGTTGTGTATTTGATCAGTTGTCTCGCTTGACTCTTGTAAGTTGTGTATTTGATCAGTTGTCTCGCTTGACTCTTGTAAGTTGTGTATTTGATCAGTTGTGTCCCTTGACTCTTGTAAGTTGTGTATTTGATCAGTTGTCTCTCTTGACTCTTGTAAGTTGTGTGTTTGATCAGTTGTCTCGCTTGACTCTTGTAAGTTGTATATTTGATCAGTTGTCCCCCTTGACTCTTGTAAGTTGTGTATTTGATCAGTTGTCTCGCTTGACTCTTGTAAGTTGTGTATTTGATCAGTTGTCTCGCTTGACTCTTGTAAGCTGTGTATTTGATCAGTTGTGTCCCTTGACTCTTGTAAGTTGTGTATTTGATCAGTTGTGTCCCTTGACTCTTGTAAGTTGTGTATTTGATCAGTTGTCTCTCTTGACTCTTGTAAGTTGTGTGTTTGATCAGTTGTCTTGCTTGACTCTTGTAAGTTGTATATTTGATCAGTTGTCCCCCTTGACTCTTGTAAGTTGTGTATTTGATCAGTTGTCTCGCTTGACTCTTGTAAGTTGTGTATTTGATCAGTTGTCTCTCTTGACTCTTGTAAGTTGTGTATTTGATCAGTTGTCTCCCTCTACTCTTGTAAGTTGTGTATTTGATCAGTTGTCTCCCTCTACTCTTGTAAGTTGTGTATTTGATCAGTTGTCTCCCTCTACTCTTGTAAGTTGTGTATATTGATCAGTTGTCCCCCTTGACTCTTGTAAGTTGTGTATTTGATCAGTTGTCTCCCTCTACTCTTGTAAGTTGTGTATTTGATCAGTTGTCTCCCTCTACTCTTGTAAGTTGTGTATTTGATCAGTTGTCTCTCTTGACTCTTGTAAGTTGTGTATTTGATCAGTTGTCTCCCTCTACTCTTGTAAGTTGTGTATTTGATCAGTTGTCTCCCTCTACTCTTGTAAGTTGTGTATTTGATCAGTTGTCTCCCTCTACTCTTGTAAGTTGTGTATTTGATCAGTTGTCCCCCTTGACTCTTGTAAGTTGTGTATTTGATCAGTTGTCTCCCTCTACTCTTGTAAGTTGTGTATTTGATCAGCTGTCTCCCTCTACTCTTGTAAGTTGTGTATTTGATCAGTTGTCTCTCTTGACTCTTGTAAGTTGTGTATTTGATCAGTTGTCTCCCTCTACTCTTGTTAGTTGTGTATTTGATCAGTTGTCTCCATTGATCCTTGTAAGTTGTGTATTTGATCAGTTGTCTCCATTGATCCTTGTAAGTTGTGTATTTGATCAGTTGTCTCCATTGATCCTTGTAAGTTGTGTATTTGATCTGTTGTCTCCCTCAACTCTTGTAAGTTGTGTATTTGATCAGTTGTCTCGCTCTACTCTTGTTAGTTGTGTATTTGATCAGTTGTCTCCATTGATCCTTGTAAGTTGTGTATTTGATCAGTTGTCTCCATTGATCCTTGTAAGTTGTGTATTTGATCTGTTGTCTCCCTCTACTCTTGTAAGTTGTGTATTTGATCAGTTGTCTCGCTCTACTCTTGTAAGTTGTGTATTTGATCAGTTGTCCCCCTTGACTCTTGTAAGTTGTGTATTTGATCAGTTGTCTCGCTCTACTCTTGTATGTTGTGTATTTAATCAGTTGTCTCCATTGACTCTTGTAAGTTGTGTATTTGATCAGTTGTCCCCCTTGACTCTTGTAAGTTGTGTATTTGATCAGTTGTCTCGCTTGACTCTTGTAAGTTGTGTATTTGATCAGTTGTCTCGCTTGACTCTTGTAAGTTGTGTATTTGATCAGTTCTGTCCCTTGACTCTTGTAAGTTGTGTATTTGATCAGTTGTCTCTCTTGACTCTTGTAAGTTGTGTATTTGATCTGTTGTCTCCCTCTACTCTTGTAAGTTGTGTATTTGATCAGTTGTCTCGCTTGACTCTTGTAAGTTGTGTATTTGATCAGTTGTGTCCCTTGACTCTTGTAAGTTGTGTATTTGATCAGTTGTCTCCCTCTACTCTTGTAAGTTGTGTATTTGATCAGTTGTCTCGCTTGACTCTTGTAAGTTGTGTATTTGATCAGTTGTCTCGCTTGACTCTTGTAAGTTGTGTATTTGATCAGTTGTCTCGCTCTACTCTTGTAAGTTGTGTATTTGATCAGTTGTCTCCATTGATCCTTGTAAGTTGTGTATTTGATCAGTTGTCTCGCTTGACTCTTGTAAGTTGTGTATTTGATCAGTTGTCCCCTTGACTCTTGTAAGTTGTGTATTTGTTCAGTTGTCTCTCTTGTTATGACCAGATTAACTCCCCCGTCAAGGGCTTTGGATTTTCCTTCTCCAACAACTGGGCCACTCCTGCTGGCCAACGATACCCAGTTTTTGCCGTATCGTCGGTCGCTGACAGCAAACTTATCATCCTCCAATGCAGGTGAGCTCAACGCTTAACCTAAACCTTCTCGTAAACGTAAAGCTAAGAATAAACCTAAACCTACTCATAAAACTATGACTAAACCTAAACCTTCTCGTAAAGCTAAGATTAAACCTAAACCTACTCATAATACTATGACTAAACCTAAACCTTCTCGTAAAGCTAAGAATAAACCTAAACCTACTCATAATACTATGACTAAACCTTCTCGTAAAGCTAAGAATAAACCTAAACCTACTCATAAAACTATGACTTAACCTAAACCTTCTCGTAAAGCTAAGAATAAACCTAAACCTACTCATAAAACTATGACTAAACCTTCTCGTAAAGCTAAGAATAAACCTAAACCTACTCATAAAACTATGACTAAACCTAAACCTTCTCGTAAAGCTAAGATTAAACCTAAACCTACTCATAATACTATGACTAAACCTAAACCTTCTCGTAAAGCTAAGAATAAACCTAAACCTACTCATAATACTATGACTAAACCTTCTCGTAAAGCTAAGAATAAACCTAAACCTACTCATAAAACTATGACTTAACCTAAACCTTCTCGTAAAGCTAAGAATAAACCTAAACCTACTCATAAAACTATGACTAAACCTAAACCCCGCGTAATACTAATGAGAAGGTAATCCTAAACTTTCTCATAAAAAATAATTGTCAACTTTTTAGACAGATTTTTAGTTACCGATACAAGTGTATAGTAGCGTAGCGATGGGGGTGGGGCGGGGGGAGGGGGGGGAGCGGGGGCTGGACATATGTCCCCGGGCGCCGACCTTAGGGGGCGCCAAAATGGTTTGGAAAAATAAATTGAAAGGTTGAGGGGTTGCAAATCAAAAGTTTGAGGGTGGGGGTGCAAATCGAAAAGTTTGTCCCCGGGCGCCGGGAATGGTCGCTACGCCTCTGCAAGTGTATTTTGCCTACTGATAAATACAAGTGTATTTTGGCTACTGACATATACAAGTGTATTTTGCCTACTGACAAATACAAGTGTATTTTGCCTACTGACATATACAAGTGTATTTTGCCTACTGACATATACAAGTGTATTTTGCCTACTGACATATACAAGTGTATTTTGCCTACTGACATATACAAGTGTATTTTGCCTACTGAAAAATACAAGTGTATTTTGCCTACTGACATATACAAGTGTATTTTGCCTACTGACATATACAAGTGTATTTTGCCTACTGACATATACAAGTGTATTTTGCCTACTGACATATACAAGTGTATTTTGCCTACTGACATATATAAGTGTATTTTGCCTACTGACAAATACAAGTGTATTTTGCCTACTGACAAATACAAGTGTATTTTGCCTACTGACATATACAAGTGTATTTTGCCTACTGACAAATACAAGTGTATTTTGCCTACTGACAAATACAAGTGTATTTTGCCTACTGACATATACAAGTGTATTTTGCCTACTGACATATACAAGTGTATTTTGCCTACTGACAGGACGGTGGTCAACGTCACATCGTCACTGAGGACGGAGCCAGACATTGTGGACAGCAACGAGACCAGCTGCTCTGACGTCACTGAGCCATGTTTTTCTCTCAGCTTTTGTCTCAGATACAGCCTTATTGGTGCACCCTCCCCCCAGATTCTCAGTAAGTGCTACAGCCTCATTGGCTGCTCCCCCCCCCCCCCCCCCCCAGATTCTCAGTAAGTGCTACAGCCTTATTGGTGCACCCTCCCCCCAGATTCTCAGTAAGTGCTACAGCCTCATTGGCTGCTCCCCCCCCCCCCCCAGATTCTCAGTAAGTCCTACAGCCTCATTGGCTGCTCCCCCCCCCCAGATTCTCAGTAAGTGCTACAGCCTCATTGGTGCACCCCCCCCCCCCCCCCCAGATTCTCAGTAAGTGCTACACCTTGTGATAAGTGCTACACTCTCCAACACCTTTTAGTAGCAACAACGCCGGAATTGGGCTACTATCTTATTACAGCCAGTATACAAGTGCTACACTCTCTAGCACCTTGAGGTAGCCACTGACACCTGCTATAGCACCTTGAGGTAGCCACTGACACCTGCTATAGCACCTTGAGGTAGCCACTGACACCTGCTATAGCACCTTGAGGTAGCCACTGACACCTGCTATAGCACCTTGAGGTAGCCACTGACACCTGCTATAGCACCTTGAGGTAGCCACTGACACGTGCTATAGCACCTTGAGGTAGCCACTGACACCTGCTATAGCACCTTGAAGTAGCCACTGACACCTGCTATAGCACCTTGAGGTAGCCACTGACACCTGCTATAGCACCTTGAGGTAGCCACTGACACCTGCTATAGCACCTTGAGGTAGCCACTGACACCTGCTATAGCACCTTGAGGTAGCCACTGACACCTGCTATAGCACCTTGAGGTAGCCACTAACACCTGCTATAGCACCTTGAGGTAGCCACTGACACGTGCTATAGCACCTTGAGGTAGCCACTGACACCTGCTATAGCACCTTGAAGTAGCCACTGACACCTGCTATAGCACCTTGAGGTAGCCACTGACACCTGCTATAGCACCTTGAGGTAGCCACTGACACCTGCTATAGCACATTGAGGTAGCCACTGACACCTGCTACAGCACATTGAAGTAGCCACTGACACCTGCTATAGCACCCTGAGGTAGCCACTGACACCTGCTATAGCACCTTGAGGTAGCCACTGACACCTGATTTTTGCTTGCAGACTTCACAGTTCGTGTACTGGTGGACCCGCAGGTCAAAGCTATCTACCAGAAGAGGGCGCTGGTGGTCGACACGTCGGGAAAACTCAACGACACCTACACGACACATATCAGCTCCGGATGTTATACCATGAGTGTCGTGCTCCAGGAGGTGTGTCTTGTCCCAAACTTTGATCACTTTTGTTGACTGTCCCAACCTGTGATCACTTTTGTTGACTGTCCCAACCTTTGATCACTTTTGTTGACTGTCCCAAACTTTGATCACTTTTGTTGACTGTCCCAACCTTTGATCACTTTTGTTGACTGTCCCAACCTTTGATCACTTTTGTTGACTGTCCCAACCTTTGATCACTTTTGTTGACTGTCCCAACCTTTGATCACTTTTGTTGACTGTCCCAACCTTTGATCACTTTTGTTGACTGTCCCAAACTTTGATCACTTTTGTTGACTGTCCCAAACTTTGATCACTTTTGTTGACTGTCCCAAACTTTGATCACTTTTGTTGACTGTCCCAACCTTTGATCACTTTTGTTGACATGTGTTCATTGAGGTTAGGCACCGTAAGCCAGTTTGTGTTGAATCAAAACGAGGTGACCTCCCTTTGTGTTGAATCTAAACGAGGTGACCTCCCTTTGTGTTCAATCTAAACGAGGTGACCTCCCTTTGTGTTCAATCTAAACGAGGTGACCTCCCTTTGTGTTGAATCTAAACGAGGTGACCTCCCTTTGTGTTCAATCTAAACGAGATGACCTCCCTTTGTGTTGAGTCCAAACGAGGTGACCTCCCTTTGTGTTGAATCTAAACGAGGTGACCTCCCTTTGTGTTCAATCTAAACGAGGTGACCTCCCTTTGTGTTCAATCTAAACGAGGTGACCTCCCTTTGTGTTGAATCAAAACGAGGTGACCTCCCTTTGTGTTGAATCGAAACGAGGTGACCTCCCTTTGTGTTGAATCAAAACGAGGTGACCTCCCTTTGTGTTGAATCTAAACGAGGTGACCTCCCTTTGTGTTGTATCTAAACGAGGTGACCTCCCTTTCAGATGCCGCTCCACCAGGACCGGTTTACGCCCCTGGAGCTGGTTGCCCAGTATGACGTCATCTCAGCCACGCCAGGGACGGGCCCAGTTATGGATGTCCTACAGCCAAACAGCGTCAGAACAACGGTCAGGGCTGTCCTCAGTTTCAACAGTCTAGTACAGGGCTGTCCTCAGTTTAATTAGTCTAGTGCAGGGCTGTCCTTAGTTTAAACAGTCTAAACTGACATCTAAAGTTGAACTGACATCTAAATTTGAACTGACATCTAAATTTGAACTGACACATCTAAAGTTGAACTGACACCTAAAGTTGAACTGACATCTAAAGTTGAACTGACACATCTAAAGTTTAACTGACATCTAAAGTTGAACTGACATCTAAAGTTGAACTGACATCTAAAGTTGAACTGACATCTAAAGTTGAACTGACATCTAAAGTTGAACTGACATCTAAAGTTGAACTGACGTCTAAAGTTTAACTGACGTCTAAAGTTTAACTGACATCTAAATTTGAACTGACACATCTAAAGTTGAACTGACACCTAAAGTTGAACTGACACCTAAAGTTGAACTGACATCTAAAGTTGAACTGACATCTAAAGTTGAACTGACATCTAAAGTTGAACTGACATCTAAAGTTTAACTGATGTCTAAAGTTTAACTGACACAACAAAAGTTGAACTGACATCTAAAGTTTAACTGACATCTAAAGTTGAACTGACATCTAAAGTTGAACTGACACAACAAACATTTGCTTACCAGGTCGCCTTCCAGAACGAGTGTGGCTCCGACAACAAATGTCAAGTTGACCTGGTAACGACAGGAAGTCTGGAGTTTTTCCCTGCTACAAGCTCAAACTCTCTGGTGGTCAATTTGACAGATGTAAGTAGGTCTAGTTTTAAGTCTAGGTCTAGTTTTAAGTCTAGTGCTAGTTTTAAGTCTCGGTCTAGTTTTAAGTGTAGGTCTACATCACTACCAGTGTTTCTTCCAGACTTTTTTCTCCGGGGGGGGGGGGGGGGGGGGAATGGCACTTGAAATTTTCGGGGGTGGGGGGGCGGTAGACTTTCTTGGGGGGGGGGGGGGGGGCGGACACTGTTAAAAGTATATATTTTCTATATAAATTATATACATTTCATTTTGTTCGGAGAGGGGGGGGGGGGGGCCTGAAAGAAACTCTGATCACTATGGTTCGGCGCGGCCTAGCGGTATAGCGCTAGAATGCAAACTCGAAAGTCTGAATTCCATGTTCATGTCAGTAGAAAGTCCTAGTCCACCCAGCTCTGATGGTACCTGACTAACGTTAGGGAATGTAAACCATAGTGCTGACCACACTATCCCTTCATTTGCCGAGATTATAGAAACAGGTGAATTCTACTTCACTAGCCCCCTAGGTTCGAAAAGATCTCTAGGTGCAAATACAGGTGAGAGGTTTATGACAGCACATGGTCACATGGGAGAGGTGCACACCAGCACGGCTACCTTAGCACTTGTTATTGGTTGTTGTACACACCAGCATGGCTACCTTAGCACTTGTTATTGGTTGTTGTACACACCAGCATGGCTACCTTAGCACTTGTTATTGGTTGTTGTACACACCAGCATGGCTACCTTAGCACTTGTTATTGGTTGTTGTACACACCAGCATGGAATGGCTACCTTAGCACTTGTTATTGGTTGTTGTACACACCAGCATGGAATGGCTACCTTAGCACTTGTTATTGGTTGTTGTACACACCAGCATGGAATGGCTACCTTAGCACTTGTTATTGGTTGTTGTACACACCAGCATGGCTACCTTAGCACTTGTTATTGGTTGTTGTACACACCAGCATGGCTACCTTAGCACTTGTTATTGGTTGTTGTACACACCAGCATGGCATGGCTACCTTAGCACTTGTTATTGGTTGTTGTACACACCAGCATGGCTACCTTAGCACTTGTTATTGGTTGGTGTACACACCAGCATGGAATGGCTACCTTAGCACTTGTTATTGGTTGTTGTACACACCAGCATGGCTACCTTAGCACTTGTTATTGGTTGTTGTACACACCAGCATGGAATGGCTACCTTAGCACTTGTTATTGGTTGTTGTACACACCAGCATGGCTACCTTAGCACTTGTTATTGGTTGTTGTACACACCAGCATGGCTACCTTAGCACTTGTTATTGGTTGTTGTACACACCAGCATGGCTACCTTAGCACTTGTTATTGGTTGTTGTACACACCAGCATGGCTACCTTAGCACTTGCAGGGTTCCTACACCAAAGTGAACTTAAAATTCCAGGAGAATTCCAGGAGTTTTCCAGGAGAAAAACCAAAATTCCAGGACATAATTTAACCTATTAAAAAGCAACAACGACTCAACCCCGCGCTGAATGGAAGGGAGTTTGACATTTCTTAAATAGGAAGTGGTCTGTATAAAATGCTATATAGCATAGCATTTGTAATTTTTAAAAGTAACTGTTTCTAAAACATTTAGTTAAGTTAAAGTAGATTCAATTTTGCCCCCACCCCTCCCATTTATAAATTGTTATTCATAAAATTGCTATCTCTCCTCCCCCCCCCCCCCTTTGGAAAATTTGGGGGCACTTTTTACCAGCCACTATCTTGTAACAATTTTTATCTTTGTACTACACAATTGAGGTAGAGAAAAGTTGAATCAGTGTGTAGTCTTGTAGCAGTTTATTTTCTTAACTTTGACTGTGTATAATTCAATACTTCAGCATAAAATGAGCTTTTTGTAGAAAAAAATTGTATCCCTTTTCATCCCCCCCCCCCCCCCCCACTTATGCCAATGATGTTGATTTTTTCTTAAAACATCGATATTTTCCAAAATCTTGTCAGAACGCCGTCAACATAGAGTATTTTGATCAATCCTATTACAATTAATTAAAACAGTTTTCTAAAACGCGAAATAACGGCTAAAATTCGTTTTCTAACATTGCTTTTTTATTATGCAAAAGTGTGATGTCCCACCATCTGAACCCCCCCCCCCCTCATCACATACCGTCACAAAATTACGGACCCCCCTCTCCCCCCTACGAGTGTGACGTCATTTATTTCAGATAGTTGTTTTTTTTTTTTTATTGCCGGTAGCGTATTTTTTCCTCCAGCTAGACACCGTCGCGCTGGGTCAGTTGAGTTCATCTAAGCTTACGGTTGGCCTGTAGTATACTGCTGATGACATCACTAGCGGGTCACACAGAGTTCACTTCATATACCCAACCAGCGGTCCTCCCTCCCCCACCCTAAAAAAGTCAGGCCTATTAAACAGAGCCGCACACATAGAAAGACATGAGAAGCAAATTAAACCAAACCCACATGTTAAAGACAGCTTTAGGTCTATATTTTAAAATGTGTGCCTTGTAATGCGAAGAATCGAAAAGGCAGAACATTTTTACTGGGGCGGTCAGATCTGATTACCTAGAAATCTAACGCGCGAAAAAAATATTCGCTAAAATTATCTATGCGAGTAAAATTCCAGGACATATTACAAAATTTCAGGAGAAATGTTAAAATTCCAGGAGAATTCCAGGACTTTTTTGGTTTTTTGAAATTCCAGGAGAATTCCAGGACATCCTGGAATTTCAGGAGGCCGCAGGAACCCTGCACTTGTTATTGGTTGTTGTACACACCAGCATGGAATGGCTACCTTAGCACTTGTTATTGGTTGTTGTACACACCAGCATGGCTACCTTAGCACTTGTTATTGGTTGTTGTACACACCAGCATGGCTACCTTAGCACTTGTTATTGGTTGTTGTACACACCAGCATGGCTACCTTAGCACTTGTTATTGGTTGTTGTACACACCAGCATGGCTACCTTAGCACTTGTTATTGGTTGTTGTACACACCAGCATGGCTACCTTAGCACTTGTTATTGGTTGTTGTACACACCAGCATGGCTACCTTAGCACTTGTTATTGGTTGTTGTACACACCAGCATGGCTACCTTAGCACTTGTTATTGGTTGTTGTACACACCAGCATGGCATGGCTACCTTAGCATTTGTTATTGGTTGTTGTACACACCAGCATGGCTACCTTAGCACTTGTTATTGGTTGTTGTACACACCAGCATGGCTACCTTAGCACTTGTTATTGGTTGTTGTACACACCAGCATGGCTACCTTAGCACTTGTTATTGGTTGTTGTATACACCAGCACGGCTACCTTAGCACTTGTTATTGGTTGTTTGGGCGTCCTGCACAGGGTCAGGGTCACTGCCTAATTCAAACTGTACCAGGCGCATGCGCCGGTGCCCCGTGAGACCCGGAACTCTATGACGCTAACTTTTATTTTATATAGCGCCATTCACTAGGGGCACCAAAAGCGATTATATCGTACAACGGGCATTCTGCGGCGCCCTGGTAGATATAAGACCCTGTACACCCTGGATCCACCATGAGCAATACAACGTCTACGTCCGTTATAAAGAGTGCCATACACTATGGATACGGTGCCTACTATCATTGGCTAAATCGAAATAAAGGGTCCACAGGCGGCTGTTTAAACAAGGGCGTCTAGGCGTGAGTGTTTATACTACCAGCGCTCAACATGCGAGATTCAATAAAACACTGGTATTGCTTACACTGAAATAATTCAGTTTTATAAAACAAGGTCACACTTCTAAAAATGCACAAGTGGTACAGTGGTGATGAAACTATTACAAAACGTTAAGTCACTCTGGTGTTCAGGACTACACCCCAGTGACAAGAAAGCGCCAAGTAGGAAAATAGTCTGCACACCTTAAAACACACCACTGCTAACAATTCAGTGGTATCATAAACTGTCTTCGATTTTTTTTTCGTCGGAGATCGCAGCAACGCTCGCAACGAGTACGCTGCTAGTGTAATTTAGTGTAAACATTTGTAGCCTTACATAGTTACAGATGAAGATGTTTTGTGATTGTAGATGTTTTTTTATGTTCGTGTTAGTAAACCAGCAAGAAACATTTCATTTTTCCCCAGGAGCTAATTGTCAAGGTCAAGGTGAGCAACCTGAAAGAGACGGCCTACTGGACAGTGGTCAGGGTGGAGGTCAGCTCGACGCTCTATTTCCTCAAGGCCAAGTCAGACGGCAGCTGTGACCGAGTGGCACACACCAGCGCTGACCCGGGCACCAATGCCACGGCGGCGGGGGAAATGAGGGACACGGTGGTAATTGATGGCTGGCTCTTTTTTGTTGTTGGCTGAAATGTGTGGTGGGTTCTTGTGGTGGGTGGTTGTGGTGGTGTGTGGGGCGGTTGGTTGTGGTGTGTGGGAGTTGTGGTGTGAGTGGGTGGTTGTGGTGTTTGTGATGTGTGTGGTTGTGGTGTTTGTGGGTGGTTGTGGTGAGGGTGGTTGGTTGTGGTGTTGTGGTGTTTGTGGGTGGTTGTGGTGTGTAGTAGGGATGAGTTTGAGATGTGTCAATAAATCTTTAGATTGACATTTAACTTCTACAGGTCATTTGCAACTACTACAAGCCGCTAGCAAAAGATGACGTCATTCCATTTTCTGTCAGCTTCCACCCAGAGCAACTTGACCTGAGTCGTTCAGATCTTGAGGTCAAGGTCACCGCCATGCCGAAAAACCAGCAGCACAACCCCGAGCAGACTCCGACTGACAATACGGTCTCTCTGGCGGCGCAGCTTGAGATCGTCCCTGACCTTTCTTTAGACAGGTAACAATAGCCGTGAGTCATGCAGGTAGCTCGCTGTGTAAGAGCAGGTTAAAAGTTCCAGACTTTGTGTGAAAGCAGGTTAAACGTTTTAGACTTTGTGTGAGAGCAGGTTAAAAGTTCCAGACTTTGTGTGAGAGCAGGTTAAAAGTTCCAGACTTTGTGTGAGAGCATGTTAAAAGTTCCAGACTTTGTGTGAGAGCATGTTAAAAGTTCCAGACTTTGTGTGAGAGCATGTTAAAAGTTCCAGACTTTGTGTGAGAGCAGGTTAAAAGTTCCAGACTTTGTGTGAGAGCAGGTTAAAAGTTCCAGACTTTGTGTGAGAGCAGGTTAAAAGTTCCAGACTTTGTGTGAGAGCAGGTTAAAAGTTCCAGACTTTGTGTGAAAGCAGGTTAAAAGTTCCAGACTTTGTGTGAGAGCAGGTTAAAAGTTCCAGACTTTGTGTGAGAGCATGTTAAAAGTTCCAGACTTTGTGTGAGAGCATGTTAAAAGTTCCAGACTTTGTGTGAGAGCAGGTTAAAAGTTCCAGACTTTGTGTGAGAGCAGGTTAAAAATTCTAGACTTTGTGTGAGAGCAGGTTAAAAGTTCCAGACAATGTGTGAGAGCAGGTTAAAAGTTCTAGACTTTGTGTGAGAGCAGGTTAAAAGTTTTAGACTGTTATGTGAGAGCAGGTTAAAAGTTTTAGACTTTGTGTGAGAGCAGGTTAAAAGTTCCAGACTTTGTGTGAGAGCAGGTTAAAAGTTCCAGACTTTGTGTGAGAGCAGGTTAAAAGTTCTAGCTTTTGTGTAAGAACAGGTTAAAAGTTCTAGACTTTGTGTGAGAGCAGGTTAAAAGTTACAGACTTTGTTTCAGAGCAGGTTAAAAGTTCTAGACTTTGTGTGAGAGCAGGTTAAAAGTTCCAGACTTTGTGTGAGAGCAGGTTAAAAGTTCCAGACTTTGTGTGAGAGCAGGTTAAAAGTTCTAGACTTTGTGTGAGAGCAGGTTAAAAGTTCCAGACTTTGTGTAAGAGCAGGTTAAAAGTTCCAGACTTTGTGTAAGAGCAGGTTAAAAGTTCCAGACTTTGTGTGAGAGCAGGTTAAAAGTTCCAGGCTTTGTGTGAGAGCAGGTTAAAAGTTCCAGACTTTGTGTGAGAGCAGGTTAAAAGTTCCAGACTTTGTGTGAGAGCATGTTAAAAGTTCCAGACTTATTGTGAGAGCAGGTTAAAAGTTCTAGACTTTGTGTGAGAGCAGGTTAAAAGTTTTAGACTGTTATGTGAGAGCAGGTTAAAAGTTTTAGACTGTTATGTGAGAGCAGGTTAAAAGTTTTAGACTGTTATGTGAGAGCAGGTTAAAAGTTCTAGACTTTGTGTGAGAACAGGTTAAAAGTTCCAGACTTTGTGTGAGAGCAGGTTAAAAGTTCCAGACTTTGTGTGAGAGCAGGTTAAAAGTTCCAGACTTTGTGTGAGAGCAGGTTAAAAGTTCCAGACTTTGTGTGAGAGCAGGTTAAAAGTTCCAGACTTTGTGTGAGAGCATGTTAAAAGTTCCAGACTTTGTGTGAGAGCATGTTAAAAGTTCCAGACTTTGTGTGAGAGCATGTTAAAAGTTCCAGACTTTGTGTGAGAGCAGGTTAAAAGTTCCAGACTTTGTGTGAGAGCAGGTTAAAAGTTCCAGACTTTGTGTGAGAGCAGGTTAAAAGTTCCAGACTTTGTGTGAGAGCAGGTTAAAAGTTCCAGACTTTGTGTGAAAGCAGGTTAAAAGTTCCAGACTTTGTGTGAGAGCAGGTTAAAAGTTCCAGACTTTGTGTGAGAGCATGTTAAAAGTTCCAGACTTTGTGTGAGAGCATGTTAAAGTTCTAGACTTTGTGTGAGAGCAGGTTAAAAGTTCCAGACTTTGTGTCAGAGCAGGTTAAAAGTTCTAGACTTTGTGTGAGAGCAGGTTAAAAGTTCCAGACTTTGTGTGAGAGCAGGTTAAAAGTTCCATACTTTGTGTGAAAGCAGGTTAAAAGTTCCAGACTTTGTGTAAGAGCAGATTAAAAGTTCCAGACTTTGTGTGAGAGCAGGTTAAAAGTTCCAGACTTTGTGTGAGAGCAGGTTAAAAGTTCCAGACTTTGTGTGAGAGAAGGTTAAAAGTTCCAGACTTTGTGTGAGAGCAGGTTAAAAGTTTCAGACTTTGTGTGAGAGCAGGTTAAAAGTTCCAGACTTTGTGTGAGAGCAGGTTAAAAGTTCCAGACTTTGTGTGAGAGCAGGTTAAAAGTTCCAGACTTTGTGTGAGAACAGGTTAAAAGTTCCAGACTTTGTGTGAGAGCAGGATAAAAGTTCCAGTATTTGTGTGAGAGCAGGTTAAAAGTTCCAGACTTTGTGTGAGAGCAGGTTAAAAGTTCCAGACTTTGTGTGAAAGCAGGTTAAAAGTTCCAGACTTTGTGTGAGAGCAGGTTAAAAGTTCCAGACTTTGTGTGAGAGCATGTTAAAAGTTCCAGACTTTGTGTGAGAGCATGTTAAAAGTTCCAGACTTATTGTGAGAGCAGGTTAAAAGTTCTAGACTTTGTGTGAGAGCAGGTTAAAAGTTTTAGACTGTTATGTGAGAGCAGGTTAAAAGTTTTAGACTGTTATGTGAGAGCAGGTTAAAAGTTTTAGACTGTTATGTGAGAGCAGGTTAAAAGTTCTAGACTTTGTGTGAGAGCAGGATAAAAGTTCCAGTATTTGTGTGAGAGCAGGTTAAAAGTTCCAGACTTTGTGTGAGAGCAGGTTAAAAGTTCCAGACTTTGTGTGAAAGCAGGTTAAAAGTTCCAGACTTTGTGTGAGAGCAGGTTAAAAGTTCCAGACTTTGTGTGAGAGCATGTTAAAAGTTCCAGACTTTGTGTGAGAGCATGTTAAAAGTTCCAGACTTATTGTGAGAGCAGGTTAAAAGTTCTAGACTTTGTGTGAGAGCAGGTTAAAAGTTTTAGACTGTTATGTGAGAGCAGGTTAAAAGTTTTAGACTGTTATGTGAGAGCAGGTTAAAAGTTTTAGACTGTTATGTGAGAGCAGGTTAAAAGTTCTAGACTTTGTGTGAGAACAGGTTAAAAGTTCCAGACTTTGTGTGAGAGCAGGTTAAAAGTTCCAGACTTTGTGTGAGAGCAGGTTAAAAGTTCCAGACTTTGTGTGAGAGCAGGTTAAAAGTTCCAGACTTTGTGTGAGAGCAGGTTAAAAGTTCCAGACTTTGTGTGAGAGCATGTTAAAAGTTCCAGACTTTGTGTGAGAGCATGTTAAAAGTTCCAGACTTTGTGTGAGAGCATGTTAAAAGTTCCAGACTTTGTGTGAGAGCAGGTTAAAAGTTCCAGACTTTGTGTGAGAGCAGGTTAAAAGTTCCAGACTTTGTGTGAGAGCAGGTTAAAAGTTCCAGACTTTGTGTGAGAGCAGGTTAAAAGTTCCAGACTTTGTGTGAAAGCAGGTTAAAAGTTCCAGACTTTGTGTGAGAGCAGGTTAAAAGTTCCAGACTTTGTGTGAGAGCATGTTAAAAGTTCCAGACTTTGTGTGAGAGCATGTTAAAAGTTCCAGACTTTGTGTGAGAGCATGTTAAAGTTCTAGACTTTGTGTGAGAGCAGGTTAAAAGTTCCAGACTTTGTGTCAGAGCAGGTTAAAAGTTCTAGACTTTGTGTGAGAGCAGGTTAAAAGTTCCAGACTTTGTGTGAGAGCAGGTTAAAAGTTCCATACTTTGTGTGAAAGCAGGTTAAAAGTTCCAGACTTTGTGTAAGAGCAGGTTAAAAGTTCCAGACTTTGTGTGAGAGCAGGTTAAAAGTTCCAGACTTTGTGTGAGAGCAGGTTAAAAGTTCCAGACTTTGTGTGAGAGAAGGTTAAAAGTTCCAGACTTTGTGTGAGAGCAGGTTAAAAGTTTCAGACTTTGTGTGAGAGCAGGTTAAAAGTTCCAGACTTTGTGTGAGAGCAGGTTAAAAGTTCCAGACTTTGTGTGAGAGCAGGTTAAAAGTTCCAGACTTTGTGTGAGAACAGGTTAAAAGTTCCAGACTTTGTGTGAGAGCAGGATAAAAGTTCCAGTATTTGTGTGAGAGCAGGTTAAAAGTTCCAGACTTTGTGTGAGAGCAGGTTAAAAGTTCCAGACTTTGTGTGAAAGCAGGTTAAAAGTTCCAGACTTTGTGTGAAAGCAGGTTAAAAGTTCCAGACTTTGTGTGAGAGCAGGTTAAAAGTTCCAGACTTTGTGTGAGAGCATGTTAAAAGTTCCAGACTTTGTGTGAGAGCATGTTAAAGTTCTAGACTTTGTGTGAGAGCAGGTTAAAAGTTACAGACTTTGTTTCAGAGCAGGTTAAAAGTTCTAGACTTTGTGTGAGAGCAGGTTAAAAGTTCCAGACTTTGTGTGAGAGCAGGTTAAAAGTTTTAGACTGTTATGTGAGAGCAGGTTAAAAGTTTTAGACTTTGTGTGAGAGCAGGTTAAAAGTTCCAGACTTTGTGTGAGAGCATGTTAAAAGTTCCAGACTTATTTTGAGAGCAGGTTAAAAGTTCTAGACTTTGTGTGAGAGCAGGTTAAAAGTTTTAGACTGTTATGTGAGAGCAGGTTAAAAGTTTTAGACTGTTATGTGAGAGCAGGTTAAAAGTTTTAGACTGTTATGTGAGAGCAGGTTAAAAGTTCTAGACTTTGTGTGAGAACAGGTTAAAAGTTCCAGACTTTGTGTGAGAGCAGGTTAAAAGTTCCAGACTTTGTGTGAGAGCAGGTTAAAAGTTCCAGACTTTGTGTGAGAGCAGGTTAAAAGTTCCAGACTTTGTGTGAGAGCAAGTTAAAAGTTCCAGACTTTGTGTGAGAGCAGGTTAAAAGTTCCAGACTTTGTGTGAGAGCATGTTAAAAGTTCCAGACTTTGTGTGAGAGCATGTTAAAAGTTCCAGACTTTGTGTGAGAGCATGTTAAAGTTCTAGACTTTGTGTGAGAGCAGGTTAAAAGTTCCAGACTTTGTGTCAGAGCAGGTTAAAAGTTCTAGACTTTGTGTGAGAGCAGGTTAAAAGTTCCAGACTTTGTGTGAGAGCAGGTTAAAAGTTCCAG